ACTTGAGCTGCTTGACTAGAGCTCTGCCCATTGATTATATATGAATCAGACTGAGGTGGATCAGTTATCTCAAAATATTGAACACAGTTGAATGCAACACATGCATATGAAAATAAACACAATGAGCACCCAAGCGTTCCATAAGCATTTCACTCTTTTACAGGTTAAATCCTATAATTATGTTACAATTCACTTATCCAACCTTGCTCTGATATCAAAAAGCTTGTCACAACTCAACCGATATGACCTGATATCACACAGGTCATATTATGCAAGATTGTACCGAGACTGACCCCAAGATCTAGTTGGAGAAGTACTGAAATAAAGCCTCTAATTTATATACTACATAGAGGCACTATAGAATGCAATATAAAGAAGAAGATTATTGAATCTCAAAATGATTCTTTGTATATCATTAAAAAAATCTAAAGGCTATCTACAATAGCGCTTGGCAATAAAGAATAACAAAATAAAAGTCAAACTTGCAAAAATTAGAACTAACCAAAACATACATATAACATAGATTAGAGCTTGTTATTCAAACTACTCCTCTTTCTCTTTACCCTTCCTTGGGCCTGAAAGTAAAGTAAAAGCAAGAGCTAACATGGCTTAGTAAGTTATCACAGTCTAGAACAGAAATCAATAAATAAAACCAAAAGAATTGAAAACTAACCTAAATCATATACTGAAATTACATACTATTAAACAAATATTGAAATTAATTGAATTATAAACAAACACTTCATAATGATTATCAAAATAGCTCTTAAGCTCAATTTTCTATATATCTTCGTTACCAAAACCTCACCTCGGCACCTACTAGCACCTAAATAACATAATCCTACCTTGGTCGCCCACTAGCATTTGCATCACAATGCTTCGGTAATAGAATCCCACTTCGCTCGCTCATTGGTACTTGCATCACAACACTTTGATAATAGAATCTCACCTCGATTGCCAACTGGCGTCGGCATCACAACACTTCAGTAACGGTATTCCACCTCGGTCGCCCACTGGCGCAGGCATGACTTAACACCATAACATTTCTTTTATATTTTTCAATGCATTTCATTAATTAAAGCACATTTGGACTAAATTTAAATATTGTCAAAATGTCATAATGGTAGATAATAGAAATACTAGTGAGCAAGAATTCATAATTTCAAAATATAACCAAATTATCAGAGATTGTGTAAAATATCATTTTGAAGCTTCAATTGAACTAAATCACTATTTTTAGATGTCAAAATAAATTTCTAAGTTGACAAAAAATATTATTTTTTCGAAATCACCTGGCAAAAAATTTTAAGAATACATTCAAAATATTCATAATTTCAATCTTTATACATATAAATAGTTACGCAGTAAAAATTTTGCCAATACAAAGTTAGTCTTGTTTTTCAGTAACGGGGTTTTTTTATTCGAAAAATATCAAAAATATTAAATTATTGAATACTGAAATAGGCAAAACGTAACCTAACTTGAGACGGGCAAAATTTCCAAGTGGGCCAACGGACAAAAATCGCTCTGCGACGGCTAAACCCAAGCTTTTCTTCTTTGATCTCTTATTTTTTCTCTCTAATTCCCCCAAACGTTATTCTGTTAAATTAAATGGCATAGGAAAAGAGATTTAAATAATATATTAAGTGGGTTTAGATAGTTATGTTGAAATAATAATTTAATAATATTATTATAATCAATTTTATATAAAATTTGTAAAAAGATATTTCAGAATTCAATAAATATAGAAGAATATCCATAAAATAGATAATTTTATTTAAAGAATTTTGGTGAAATCGATTTGCAAAACACACACCTAATAGTTTTAAAACCCCCACCTATACCATTAGGTGTCAATTTCTTAAAGAATTTAATTAGTGCCTAATATTTTAAAAAAAATTGGTGAAACTAAAACACAATAATAAATATCTTATAACAAAGATGATTTGTGATTTGGACTTATAATGACTCTCGAAATAATTTTTTTACTGCTATAGGTAAAAATATTTTTTTCTAAATTTTAAGTTATAACAGCTTGCCTAACATTTAATACATACTACACTTCACTAGTGAGTAGTAGCAAAGAATTCGTAGTGCAGAAAAAACTAGTCTATAGGCGAGAACAAGGGGCTCGTATTAAACATATTTACCTGCCTACAAGCAATATCAATGAACTTGCAAAGAACACTACAATTAACCTGTGAACAGAAGCAAGAAATTCGTAGTGCATACGGCTAGCTTTTAAGAAAAGAATAAGGGGCTCGTATTGAATAAATTAGTTTTCCTACAATCGACTATAGGAGATTCGTAGCGAATAATGTAGTTCACTTACAAGCAAAGTACGATCTCTTACTGCCTATTAAGCAAACATCACATATCAATTATGCTAAATGATAACTTGAATGAGGGAAAAAAAGCTGAACAATATCTCTCCTATACACAATAACTGAAATCAAATACTACGCTTTCATACCTTCGGATCCACAACACTCGTACAAGCATACAGAAGACATTTCTTCAACTTCAAATGAAATCTTGCACAAAATTTAGTGACAATCACTTATGCAAATAATCATATTTAATTATTTTAAAATTCCTCTTATGCACTAAAATATAATTCCCTAAATTTAAATGCGACTCATCGAAAAGTGTGCACATTATTTTTAAAAGAAGATTTTTATACCCCGCATGTGCTCTAAGAAATGTGCTAAATTTGCAAACATAAATGGCTAAGAATGTTGCGCAAGGGTTAAATGCTCACTAATATAAAATTCTATTTTCAAACTAAAACTCGAATGTGTTCCGACCGTTGCTTCATACTCTAAAATTCAAGGCCTGAGAATGATATGCGATGCAAATATTCAAGTTTCATCATCCTCCTTAAAGGACTTGAGTCGATACGACTTGGATTAATAAATGAACATCTAATTACAAATCTACCTGAATATTTAGTTTTAAAGTCCACATCAAGCCTTCAAAGGCTCTTTAGATGAAATGAATAATAAATTATAAAGGTTTCGGTTAATGGTGTTCGTATGATAAGTCACGAGGCCAATAATAGAACCTAATCCTTTATTAGCGGACAAATAAAGTTGGCTAGGTTCTCAAATAACTAAAACTTTAAATTCCGATTATGGCTATGTTGAATGTCAATCTCAACCGGAGGGGACTACTCTTTTAAATGCATCCAAATTTTATCAAAATACAAATATTTTGAAATGACTTTAATTTAACTTCGATGATGACCGTGTTTAATGTAAATTTCAGCCAGAGGGGCAAATTATTAATGATCTACCAAACGTCAAAACTTAACGTCTATAAAAATATTAATTTTTAATATTAAAATTTAATCATCTAAACTTAAAGTAAAAGGATTCATGTAGTTGACCCACATAATGAGATAATGACTTTTTGTTGTTTTTGTTATTGTATGTTTAAAGTAAAACTCATCCACCCTCCAAGGGTGATAAACTCAAGAGCAACTCTAGTTCACAAAGAACAAATATCCAATTGAGAATATTATTCAGATTCATTCTTAAATAATTTCATGTTAGTAAGGAATTGACAGTTGTGGTCTAATTAGTAGCTTGGCCAGATTGCTCCACAAAATCCGTAGCTTGGTCAGACGGTTCTGCATTAAATTGTTATAATTGGTTCTCTAATCAGTGGTTTGGCCTGACGGCTCCACAATAAACCTGTGGCTTGGCCAGGATAGCTCCACATGATAAATGATTATGACCATGACCCTTGACCTACCGACTCCATTGTATTACGGTCACGGCTAAAAGCTTGTATGTTCCACAAATGACTAGTTATCATTTAGTAATGAGTCATAGGGTATGATTGATAGGACACCAAGCCCTTTGTTAGCTTATGCTAACTTGAATTCGTCCTTTTGACAAGCATTCACCCAATGTCTACAAGTTATCCTTGTACGAAGAAACCTATGGCTGCCGACAAGGATCCATCAGTCAGGTTGGGTCGACTATCTCCTCTGACTAAGTAGACCAAAAACCATAATGAGTCAGGATGATAAAACTTGAGATATTGATCGGGTTCATCATTCCCTCCACGATCCTCTTTATGTGATAGGTGATAACATTCTAACATTAAATTCTTAATCTACTGCTACTATATTCTAGATACTACACATATATTCAACAGTTAACCTAAATCAAAAGTTCTCTCATTATTGGGAGGGGTTAACTAGAGGGGCTTGTGCATATAGAAAATCAGAACTCATATCTTAAAATCCTCACTAAGAGGGGGAAATATCTGGGAAGTGTATTATTTCTATCTAATCTGTCTTTTGAAAATTTTCCCCGAACTTAATATGTTAAACTCTCCCCGAATATTCTAGATACAATGTGTATGTTCAACAATTAACCTGAATTGAAAGTTTTCTCTCATTATTGGAGGAGAAATTAACTATAGGGGCTTGCACTTATAGGAAATCAGAACTCATATTTTAAAGTCCTCACCAAGAAGGGGAAATATCTTGGTAGTGTATTATTTCTATCTAAATTTCCTTCCAAAAGTTTTTCCCGAACTTAGTATATTAAACTCTACCCGAATATAACACGGAGAGGCAAGAGTCCTAAAGCATAAATTTTTGAAGCTCATATTGCCTTTGAGAATTTTTATCAAAACAAGAATTAATCAACAATTTTTTTCAGAACAACAACATTCAAGTTCATTTATGTTTTATCTGTTCAGGGTGTGCTCATTTCTCCTGAATTTATGCTGCGCATATGTGCCCCGACTCCACCTTTCTTTTCTTTTAGAAAAGCCAAAGATCATTACCAAAACCTTCCTGTGCTGGGCCAGAAAATTCATGAATTTGTCACCTATGCAGCAATTAACTTTGACAATAGTGTTAAAAAATTTCCTAACTAATAATGGCAGCATTCATTGTTTCCCGTCTTTCTAATAATTACTTCCATGAACATTCCGATGATGGTGCTCTGCAAGTCTTACAGATTCTTCCTTTGCTAATGCAGGATGGCTCAATCCCCATGCTTACCGAGGTCGCTCCATTAAGCAACCCAACAAATATTTCATCACCAAAGATTGGGCAGCTTGAGCCTAAAGAGCATAATAACCCTGCTTCCAGGAGAGAATCCCCATTTTCTACCCCGAAGAACATAGCGCCAAAATCCAGCGATAGTCAACGGCCATCAGATGCTATGGAGAGAGCAAAAGCAGCACTCGCCACAGCTGAGCATGCTTTAGCTGCTGCACGAGCTGCAGCTGAGCTCAGCAAAGTTAAATTATTTACTCAGGAAAGTCCCAAACAAAGTGATTAATTAGCTTTTAATTCTCTGTAAAACGGTTGACGTATATATTTTTCTTCTCCTTCTCTCTTCGCTATGGACTGTAGGTGTTTTTTTGACTGAAAACAGGAAAAAAAAAGGGTAGTTTGACGAGTTTCTTAATATGTTTGCCTTGTAATTATTCTTAAGCTACCGTTGTTTGTTTGAACTTTCCTGCCATTAACTTGTTTCGCATGGCAATGCCATCTTTCTTGACTGGCTTCTCAGATCGTGCTCGACACGAGTCTATGGCGGCTGCGGTGGACCCGGAATTAATCAAGCCAGTAAACATGTGTGGAAGATCTCTCTTCCTTCGATTTTGCTTGCTTCCTCTTTTAAGCTTTTAAAAAACAATAAACAAAGAATGATGATATATATATTTTTTTAATATGTATGAGGTTTTGTTTGAGATAATTTTTTATTATTTTTAAAATAGTTTTTTTAGTATAAATATTTTTTTAAAATAGTAAAAAAATATAACGACCAACAAGCTGCAATATGATCCCAAAAATTGCTTTATTCAGGGAGGCCTTATCATGTTCTTAGGGCATCTCCAACCGAACGCCAAACGAGCGTTTGGCGTCATTCCTTCGCTCCAGCCGAACGCCAAAAAATCCTCCATTTGCTTGCGGGTGAACAGTGCAACGTCAATATTGGCGCTGCACTATTCACCCACGCCATTTTTCTCTGTCAACCGGAAAAATGCTGGAAAGGAGAAGGGTCGTTACCTTGGCGCAGAAGCAAAAAAATGGCGTTGGATTGGAGCAGCACCACGCCATTTTTGCTTTTTTCGGTATTTTGGCATGAAAAATAGAGTTCTCGGTTGGAGATGACCTTAGGCTTCATTTGGGATGGCTTTTATACTGCTTCTTAAAATAATTTTTTAGTACAAAAGTCGAAATTTTTGTACTTGAAAGTTAAAAAGTCATCTCAAACGAAGCCTTAATTTATATATATAATGTATATTTGTATCTTCTCCTTAATTACTTAAAGAAAAACATTTTCTTTATGAAGTGGTTTATACTTATTGATTAGAATATTACCAATCTTAATTCAATTAAATTATTTTTAAAAAATATTTAAAATATTTTTTATTACTTTTTAAAATAATTTTCAATGGCAGTGTCGGCACAGCCACAGCCATATCTGTTGTTAACCATCCGTCAATGTTGACCAGAAATAAAATTTTCATTGATGGCCACCATACATAACCCAGTGATCCCAAATAATCTCTAAGAATTTTTTTGGGTTTTCTCTTTTTATTTTTTTAAATATATTTATTTATTATGTTTTATAATATTAGTTTTTAAAATCAATTTAAATACTTTTTAAAATACTCAAAATTGCTTTATGGTATTTGAGTGCTATAAACAGTTATCAACACTAAGGGCATCTCCAATTGAAAAACTTATTTTTTCATTGGACTTCATTTTTAACACCAAAAAATAATATTTTAATTTTGTATTTTTGTTAGCTGAACACGGCTTCTTTTTGTTCCAGACCCTAACGGTGGATGTGACGTTTTTGTTTTGTATGGTTGCTATGGATGAAGGGCAAATTATTGCATCCGGTCTCCGAACGCGAAGAATAAGTTCGGACATCTAATAAAAACATGTCACATCACCTATGCATTTGACTGCGCTTTAGGTGCCCTTTACCTGCGTTTTGACGCGCTTAATTTAAAATAATATTTTATTAATATCCAGGCCTATCTCCGCGTCCAGTGACTCTATGCAATAATTTGTCATGGATGAAGACGTGAGTCTTCTCTCAGAAGATTGAGGGAGGATGCTACAGTTTAATGAGAATAAATAAGGATAATCTTTAGTTAATTTATTCTATTTAATTGGAATAGATGGTATATTCTACATAGATCAGTGCAAAGTTTCGCCGGCAATATTTGCATTAGATGGAGAGACTGAAAGATGGTAGATGAGGCAACATCAAGATAAATTTGTAGGGTTGCTCAATATCCAAATTAAATGGGAAGAATTTACACATGTTTTTAGAGACTTTCGTGCCTCTTTCTACAAGGAGGCAAATGTAGGATAAGTTCTTGAGGCTGATTCAAGGGGACAAATCAGGGATGAAATATGTAGTTAAACTTACTATTTTAACAAGATATGCACCTTTAGTTCATACTACAAAAGAGAAATGTTATATATTTTTATTTGGGCTTAAAAATTCGATCAGACATCCTCTTGCTCCTTTAGGGATTGATCATTATTCTTTTTTGATTAAATACTCCAAGAAGTCCTGAATTTTAAAAGAGGGGAAAATCTATAAAGCACCAAAACTTCAAAAGATTCACAATCTATATCATTTTCTCAGTCAAGAAAGTCTAATTGCAAGAAATTAAAGCCTGATAGTAATGGTAGTTAGATAAGTATAAATAACTCCAATAAATAAATAACTCCAATAAATGTGGGAAGCACCATAAGGATGAATGTCTTTCTGAAATGAATACCTATTTTTGATGTCATTAGGCTGAACATATAGTTGAGAATTGTCTTATCCTAGATAAATACCTTCAAGGGAAATAAAAGCTAGTGTTGGACAATCTCAATGAAATTTTGACAAATTAAAAATAACAGTTAGTAGCATCAACTCCAATTTTAAATCAAAGTTGATAGAATACTCAACCAAGAGTGTATGCTTTGTTACAACAGGATGCTAAGGATTTACCTAAGTAATTATAAGTATGACTATATATATATATATATATAGCAATTTATATATTCATAATACTATTTATGTCATTTATTATTTAATCATTATAGATACTATAATCATTCAAGATTGACCTGTATGAATTATATTTGAGACTCGAGCCTTATATTCCTTTATCTTAACAAAATTTGTAATCGTCTTTCTATAGAGGCAAATAATCTCCATGATTCGACGGAATGCGCTCTGCTAGGGTTTCCTCTCGGCATGATTTTTCCCATTTTGCTGCTTCGCCACTGCTCTTTGACGACAACTCTTGGTTAAGGGAAGTGTTTTGCTTTTTTATTTTGTGCATTTCTTGAGTTTTGTGGTTTCTTGGACTTTTACCACGTTTGATGGCGGATAAGCGTTTAATTCATATAGGTTTTATGGATGAAAAAATCTTCTCTAAGTCATTTCATGATGCTTTATTCTGTAGTATTTCTTCTTTTCCTGACCTAAAAATCTCTACTCACTATGGTTTGCCCTTTTTGTGGACTTCTGAGGCCGATATTCTAGCGCTTGTTACACAGTTTGAATTCACTTTGGTTGGAAAATTTCCTACCCCCAAGCCTTCCCTTGAAGCTATTTGAATTTTTTTTCAATCTTAAACTTATTGGTAATTTGTTGGTGACTGTTCTCAATCCACAGCATGTCTTGATCAAGCTTTTTAATAATTTGGATTATTGTCGTGTCTTTGCACATCGTTCATATTTTATTAATAATCGTTACATGAGGTTGATTAAGTGGTCGCCTTCGTTTGATGTGGATGTCGAGTCACCTGTTATTTCAATTTGGGTGTCTTTCTCGAATTTGATACCTCATCTCTTCGCCCCTAGGATTATTCATGGGCTCAATTCCATGTTTAGCCACCACCTTAAAATCGACCATGCTACCTCTACTAGCTCTAGACCCTCGGTTGCACATATTCTGGTCAAATTAGATGTTTCCAAACAATTTTCTAATAAGGTGTGGATTGGACCTGATAATTTGGGTTATATTTAAACGGTTAGGTTGGAGGGCCTTCCCTTGTATTTCTTTCACTATAAAGCTTTGGGGCATTCTAAGTCAGAATGTCATATCCTTCACCCACATTTGTTAAAAGCTCATACTAAGTTGGGTGATGTTCCTCTTGATACTAAGCCAGTAAAAAATGGTAATAAAAATCCTTTGTTTGTTAATCATGCTGAGTTCGTTCCTAATGACTTTTTATCTTTCTGGTGTGGAGGGGCATTTGGTTGTGTCATCTACGAACGTTATGTGTGATCCTCCTGAACCAATTGTTGATGTGTTGTTGACTTATGCATTGCCGTTAGCACAAAGCTGTGGTAATAATATGAATGGCTGTTACATTCTCTTCCTCCTTAGATGGCCCAAGCCTGGCAACCAGGTGGTGGTCTAAGTCTGTTTGGCCCTGACGATTAATGTATTCCACTAACTATAATCATTTCCTTGTGGCCTTTTTTTTGACCTTCTAGTGTAATGCTCTATTTTTCTAATAAAATTATCTTTTGGTTTTAAAAAAATTTTGTAAAATTAATTGGATTGGATATTTTCAAAATGTCTATAGTTTTAGAGGTTTTGATGTCAAATAAGTATAATATGAATATTAATAATTTATGTCGAATATACTTACATATAAATGAGAGGAAATTTGAGACAAATTTGAATGTGTTTCTTTTGCATAAATTTGATGTGATCTTAGGAATAGATTGACTATTAAATTATTTCATCACTATAGATTACAATAAGAATATATTTAAAATCAAATTTTCTAAAGAAACAAAAATATAAATTTTATGGCAATAGAGGACTATTCGGGGGCGCCTTTGGTTGATGTGCCTTTATGTGTTGTTTCCAGTGTGGGGATGTTAACTCACCTTGCGAGGGATAATGCAGTGGGGCAATATGATTGGTTAGATGATGAAATTTCTTCAGCAGGAGGGGAGGAAACTAATGAGTTAGAATTGGAGGCTCGAGATAATTTTGACTTAAGTATTCTTCAAATTGCAGATGCTGATTTGTTCAAAAAGAGTGTTAAGCATAAAAAAAATGTAAGCACAAAAATAAACAATTATTCTTTTTGGTATTTTCTTGGCTTCAATTTTGTTGGTTACCTTTGGCTTTGGATTTATTTGCGGCGCTCATTTCGAGTGAATACAACGATGAAACAGGTTTCCTGCATGTGCCTTGGATGGTCATGGCTTGGTTAGCAACCTAGGTGGAATTCTTCACTTGCTATTTTGGTGGTTTTTCAAATTTTGGATGTTACATTCTCTTCCTCCTAAGATGGCCCAAGCCTAGAAACCAGGCGGTGGTCTGAGTCTGTATGACTTTTGCGTTCAGAATGTTTGGCCCTGATGATTAGTATATTCCACAAACTGTAATCATTTCCTTTATGGCCTTTTTTTTGTTTTGGCCTTCTAGTGTAAT